GTATGAACTCACTAGACTTGACCTGGTGAATATGCATATCACAGGAGAGCAGAAAAGTCAATGATCTGGATGAAAAGTGGTTAATATTTACTAGACTTGGCATACTTACCTCACAGTTCTTTATAATGACTTTGCTAAGCATGAACATTGAACATGGCCTTTTTGCTGCCTTGAGGGCTTTGCCCTTGATTTAACTGTCTGGAAATTGTGTTTGCAAATTTCTGCCAAGTTGGCATAACTCAATTGCTTTTTTATGTTCAATGGATTTGTCGATCCAGATGTGGTGGATGCTGACTTTGTGTATATTTTACAATCCAGATTTTGTAGAGCTTCTTAATTCAGAGGAAAAGGATTAGCTGAGATTGGAAGTGGAAGCATATCTTTGGTGAATTAATAATTCAGTGAACTGGCCATATGTCTCATAGCAAAATTGTTGAATTGGTTACTCTTATGAATTGACTGTTGGTAATTTGGCCATCTGGAAAACTATTGTTGGCGAGTTGATTTTAGGTGAATTGCTGCTTTTGCATCTAGTGTGATGAGTGACAGGTGGTAGATGCTCCAGAGCTGCAGAATGGGTAAAATATATTGAAATGATGTCAGCATTATTAGTCTTTATCATTTGGGGAGGGTTTGAACCAGAAGTGAGATTGCTTGAAGCAGCCAGAAAAAAACTTATTTGAGAGATAGAAATAGTGTTTATATATTATCTTGCAACAAAAAATACCAACTGTCCAAACAAGTACATTAAATCCATATTTGAACTTATTAAATGATATATCCTGTATTTGCATAACACCTTATGCATATTTCAAAGCCCTTTCACATTCATTACTTCACTCGTGTCTCATTGCAATCCTGTGACATCAATGAAGTATGAATTAATCATTCCCAATGTACAGTTTGACATGAAACATCATTTAGATTAGGTTTTAGCTGCAAGGGTCAGATTCTAAACCAAGATAAAAGTCAAAAAGTTAACGATCTGGATTAGAAATGTTCTCTATGTTGTTTCTCCATCCTTTATAGTATTCGTTCCCAAGGTCACTGCATGGCCCCAAGTGGCTGCTGGAGCTCCAGTCATAATGGCAGCATCCTGTTATCAGAAAGCAGGAAGAGACGAAATAAGGCATGTCCCGTTCCTTGAGGTTTCAAGGGAGGCTGGGTAGTGTAATTTTCACTCCAGGTGGGCATGTGCCCTGCTAAAAATTCAGGGGTTCTGATACTATAGAAGGAAGTAGGAGAAAATAACTATAGGAACACTAGCGATTTCTGTTCCAGGGTAAATCCAGCCCGGGCACAAATTAGGATATTCTGATTCCCAGATCAGAGGTTTCCTTCACTGTGGTTTCCCATCCCTGTTAGATTTTACTTTATGAAAATAATCTTGTTTTTTACTTTAAAAAAAGTTGACAGATAAAATTTATGTATTTATCATGTATGATACATTTTGCAATACATATATACACACATACACACACACGCACATATTATGGAATGGCAAAATGTAGCTAATTCACATACATTACTTCACAAAGTTACTGTTTTTGTGGTAATAACATTTAAAATGTATTCTCAGTAATTGAAGTGAAATTCACATTCAGCAAAATGTATAGACCTTAAGTGTACAATCTAATGAGTTTTGAAGAATTTATATTTCTGTGAACCAACTTCCCAACCAAGATGTAGAATATTTCTATCACCCGGGAAACCTCTCTCCCGACTCCTTCCAGGCAATCTCCACCCTCCTCAGGCAACCACTGATCTAATTTCTCTCATCATGAATTAGTTTAACCTGTCCTAAGCTTGTTTAAATGAAAGCATGTACCCTTTTCTGTGTGGCTTCTTTCGCTTTTTGGGTGAGATCATTCTTTGCTTGTCCTGTGCAGTGTAAGAGCTTTCACAGCATCCTGGCTTCTACCCACCAGATGTAAGTAGCACTCTTTTCCCAGCCAGGTTGTGACAACGGAAAACGTTCCAGACCTTGTCAAATATCCTCCGGGGGCAAAATTGCCCTCGTTGAGAACCACTGATCCATAACTCATTCACACCAGACACAGAGAAGTGCTATTTCAGTTTCCTGACACTTGTGGTCTGTATTCCATGGGCCCCCTATTCTGAATGGTGTCATTTTATGTAAGGCCATGTGACTGAGTTCTTGATAAGCAGGGACAGTAGCTCATGGACCTCTGAACAGCCACATGTAGAGTAAGTGCAAACATGGGGTGAATTAAATTTGTTCACAATTTCTGTTTCTTTCTTAACTTGTTCCCTATAAGGAAGCCTGAGATTTTCCTACAAGAGTGAGTTGTTTTCTGCAAGTTGTTTCCTACAAGGAATTTGAGGCCCTGCTTCCCATGAGGTGGTCTGCCTGATTAGGAAGGGGAAAGGGTACAGGTCTCTAGGGACCCAGCTTCTCTCACCTGATCACACACCTCCTCCCCTAGTGTCTTAAGCACTGTGAACTGAGGGCTGAGCTGCCAGGTTCTAAGTTCTCTGCAGAACACCTTGGGGGGCAAGCCTGCTTTGCTCTTCTTTTAAATCAGGTGTAATTGAAACCCCAGTGGCTTAGCATTTCTCAGCATTTCTAAGCCTGAGGCTGCAGGGGAGCAGATCTTCTCTGTCTTGTGACTCCACTGAGGCAGGAGCTCTGGCTGGTACTATGGCCTTTTGTAATGCTTCTTGATTGGTGAACTGGGAAACCTGTGTGAGCGTAAGACTGTTCTCAGGGTGTTATTTACCTCTCCGTGATTAGAACAGAACAGCAAAGCCACAGAAACACGGCTGAGTTTTGTTTTGTGACCATGGGCTTCTTTGGTAGTGATGATTGATTCCACCTTGAAAGTAAATAGAATGTTTCCAGGAAGTGGATAGCACATTACAAGGGGCTTTCACATCCATCTGATCTTTGAGGTGAACACAGGTGCTAGGCTCTGGGATTCAGAGATGGAGAAGGTGCGATGTTAGTCCTTGGGGAACTTTCTTCTCTTAATATTTACTGAACACCAACAGTGTACCAAATACTGTGCTAAGAAGGCTGGGAAGATACATATCCAGTATTATTTATTCTTTCTACCTTCACCGAATGCTATTGCACGACTGGCACTGCAGTAAGCATTGGAGACGGAGTGGTGAGCAACCGTCAACTCTGTCTTAAGGAAACCCACACTCCAGTGGGCAGATGGCCACTCAAAAACAATGATAATTCAGTGTGGTAAGGGCCGGAATTCCAAAATGTCCTGAGAGAAGAGGGGCCCCAGGCTGAGAGGGCCTGTAAACTGGGGAGATGGACTTCCTGTCTTGGAGAGGAATCCAGGGCAGCACATAGAACTGGCCTTTAACTTATCTTGGGATGGACTGGGAGTGGGATTGAGGGACCTACCTGTGAGGGAGGTGTTATCTGCATGTTACTGTTAGACCTTGAGTCTCTGAGACGTTAAAGAACTTTCTAGATCTTATACAAACATTCCCTGAAAAATCTGACTACAAATCCAGGAGTTCAGACTGTTAGTGCTTTCTTCTGTGAGAAACTTCTTGGTAAAGTTCCCCAGCTAATCTGAGAGTTTGGGGCCGGCCTTTCTTTGTTTCTGTAACTATACGCTCTCTCAGTGCTTTCCTTCTGGCTCATGGCGGTCTTTAATCACTTGAGATTGCCCCACTCATGGAAGCAAGGAAGCTTTGTGGTCTGAGTGGAAGTGATCTGGCTCCCAGGCTCAGATGGCCGGCAGTGTTACTGTAGGAGAGACTATGTGGATATACAAAACCTCAGCCACCTTGGACAGAGTTTAGCGTGGACAGGACAGCCTGCCAGTCAGTCAGTGAGCAGTCTTGGTGATGCCCTGAGGTGTTGAAAGCCTGGGCTATGAAGAAGGATGTGTCAGAGCATGAGGGGGCACTGGGATATATGTGTGTGTGTGTGTGTTGGGGGGGTGGATGGGGGATGTTGGATCTTTGTTGCCACTAGAGGATGTGACTGGAGAAAGTGAAGGTGCCAGTAAAGAGGAGAATTTTGCATGGATTGAGTTGAGCTGGGCCCTTGGAAGAGGACAAGCTCACGAAGTGACCAAGTGTAGCATATGAGAATTAGAGGGAGAAGCAGAAATAAGAGGAGATGTTGATTGTCAAAGGAGGTCCACCAGGACCTCTGAATGGAACGTGGAGAGGTTGAGGACATGGTGAGGACACGGTTCTGTAAACCAAGGATGGAAGAGAAGGCCAGGAGCAGTGGCTCATGCCTGTAATCCCAGCACTTTGGGAGGCTGAAGTGGGTGGACTGTTTGAACTCAGGTGTTTAAGACCAGCCTGGGCAACATGGTGAAACTCTGCCTCTTCAAAAAATATAAAAATGAGCAGAGTGTGGTGGTACATGCCTGCAGTCCTAGCTACTCAGGAGGCTGAGGTGGGAGGCTCACTTGAGCCCGGGGAAGTCAAGGCTGCAGTGAGCCAAGATCACGCCACTGCCCTCCAACCTGGGTGACAAAGTAAGACCCTGTCTCAAAAAAAAAAAGAGAGAGAAAGAGAGAAAGAGGTGGAATGAAAGAAAGCTGTAGGCACAGGATAATTTAAAACACTGAAAGGCAATAGAAAGACATCTAACATGGAGACATGGAGGCAGTAACACTATCCTGGCTGTTTCCAAATTGTTTGATGAGGGGATTTAATAACTTCCTAATAGAGGAACTAACTAACCTCCTAACTAACCTCCTCTGATCTGTTTCCACTGGACAGCGCTTTCCCTACTTTGGGTCTCTACATACTACAGACTGTGTGTGATTCTGCAGACAATGGAAAATCATCGAGTATGTTCATCAGCTGGAAAGTAAAATGACTTCCCAAATTGGTACTAATGTCTATCTACAGCTTTATTTTTTGCTCTTCTTCCCTTTATTCCAGCCACACACAAGGCCTTCGTACTTGCTCTCGGCCTTCTTGGAATGCTCTTCCTTTCTACACATAACTAACTCTACTCATGTTTCCATTTCTAAGTCACCAGCGTCTCAGCTATGCAAGGGCTTTTATGTAATTCACTCACTCGGCGAAGAAGTCTTTTGTATCATTTCAGGTCACGCCACCCATATTGCTGCCTCTTGGTGACAACCTCATGGCTAACATACACAATGTGACTGAATTCATTTTTCTGGGACTTTCTCCCAATCAAAAGGCGCAGGGGGTTTGCTTTGTGATATTTCTGTTCTTGTACACAGCAATTGTGCTGGGGAATTTCCTCATTGTGCTCACCGTCATGACCAGCAGAAGTCTTGGTTCCCCCATGTACTTCTTCCTCAGCTACCTCTCCTTCGTGGAGATCTGCTACTCCTCTGTTACAGCCCCCAAACTCATCTCGGATCTGCTGACTGAAAGGAAAGCCATTTCTTGGTGGGGTTGCATGGCACAGCTTTTCTTCATGCACTTCTTTGGTGGCACTGAGATATTCTTGCTCACTGTGATGGCCTATGACCGCTATGTGGCCATCTGCAAGCCCCTCAGCTACACCACTATCATGAACCAGCAGGTGTGTGCTGTCCTTGTAGGAATAGCATGGGTGGGAGGCTTCGTGCATTCCTTTGCCCAAGTCCTTCTCGTCTTCCACTTGCCCTTCTGTGGCCCCAATGTGATCAATCACTATTTCTGTGACCTGCTTCCCCTTCTCAAACTCGCCTGCTCTGACACCTTCCTCACTGGTCTGCTGATTGTTGCCAATGGAGGGACCTTGTCTGTGATCAGTTTGGGGATCCTCTTAGCATCCTATTTGGTCATATTGCTCCATCTGAGGGCCTGGAGCTCTGAGGGGCGGCGCAAAGCTCTCTCCACCTGCGGGTCTCATGTCACAGTGGTTAGCTTGTTCTTTGGGCCCTGCATCTTCATCTATCTGAGGCCCTCTACCACTCTGCCTGTAGACAAGGTGTTGGCTGTGTTCTACACGGTGATAACGCCACTCTTGAACCCTGTCATCTACTCCCTGAGAAATGCTGAAATGAAGAAGGCCATGAAGAGGCTGTGGATTAGGACACTGAGACTCAATGAGAAGTAGAGGCCGAGACTTGGTATTGATGCTTGGGTTCAGAATGATTGCTGGGTCCAAACTGAAGGCGCAGAATAGGTTGAAGGGAAAGTTCGCAGGACTTGTTAGTTCCAGATTATTCTACCTGGCCTCCCTCTTTTTAAAAAAAGTTCATTTTAATCATTTGGACAATATTTCCTTTTGTGGATGTACTAATTTAAATATACTTTTATTTCTCTTTCTGCCCCCCATATCCTAAAACAACTTATTATTAATTTGATTGAAATCAAATTATATTTTATGTAAGTACTTACAAATGTATTTAGAAATAATAGACACTATAATGCTGTGAGTCTTCCCATCCAAAACCATGATATGTCTTTCCATTTGTTCATGTCTTTTTTTGTGTTCTTCGTAGAGTTTTAACGTTTTTCTCCCCCACAGGTCATGCACATTTCAAGGGTTGCCTGTTTGTCTATTATAGGGAATTGTTTGACATAGGTATAAAAGCCACCGATTACACATATTATTTTTTTTGCTACACATAATACATGTCAATGCCAATAGGCATACAACTGTCATACAGCAAACTCAGTTAAGCCTCCACTCTTTCCTTTGGCATTCTGATGAATACCTTGCATAAAAGAGTCATTCTGGGCTGGGTGCGGTGGCTCAAGCCTGTAATCCCAGCACTTTGGGAGGCCAAGGTGGGTGGATCACGAGGTCAAGAGATTGAGACCATCCTGGTCAACATGGTGAAACCCCGTCTGTACTAAAAATACAGCAAATTAGCTGGGCATAGTGGCGTGTGCCTGTAATCCCAGCTGCTCAGAAGGCTGAGGCAGGAGAATTGCCTGAACCCAGGAGGCGGAGGTTGCGGTGAGCCTTGATCGTGCTATTGCACTCCAGACTGGGTAACAAGAGCAAAACTCCATCTCAAAAAAAAAAAAAAAAAGAAAAAAAAAGAGTCATTCCAAAATAGTCTGCAGAATTAGCCCACCATCTCGTTGAATTAGACAACAGAATCACCAGTTGAACTCACAGGACCAAATGGAGCTCTTCTTGAAAGGCATCAGGCTGTGAAGCTTGCTAGATTCATTTTGTAACCTTCTTATTATTGAAAATGTAAACATGTATCAAAATAGATGGTATAGTATAAAGAATCTCTTTTACCCATAACACAATTTCAACAGTTAACTCATGGCCAAGCTTGTTTCGTTTATACCCCCATCTACCTCCTCCCACTTTATAGTCTTCAGTGTCTTTTGCTCCCATCTTTGTGACCATGAGTACCCAATGTTTAGCTCCCACTTATAAGTGAGAACATGATGTATTTGGTTTTCTGTTCCTGCATTAATTTGTTTAGGATAAAGATCTTCAGCTGTATCCATGTTGCTGCAAAGGACATACTTTTGTTCTTTGTTATGGCTGCATAGTATTCTATGATATATGTGTACCACATTTTCTTTGTCCGTTCCACCATGGATGAGCACCTAGGTTGGTTCCCTGTCTTTGCTATTGTGAATAGTGCTGCAATGAACATACAAGTGCACGTGTCTTTTTGGTGAACAATATATGCCCAATGGTGGGATTGCTTTTAGTATAGGTTGAATGACAGTTCTGTTTTAAGTTATTTGAGAAATCTCCAAACTGCTTTCCACAGTGGTTGAACTAATTTACATTCCCACCAGCAGTGTATAAATGTTGCCTTTTCTCTGCAGCCTCCCCAGCATCTATTATTTTTTTAATAACCATTCTGACTGCTGAAGATGATATCTCATTGTGGTTTTGATTTGTATTTCTCTATTAGTGATGTTGAGCATTTTTTCATATGTTTGTGTGTCTTCTTTTGAGAAGTGTTTGTTCATGCCCTTGGCCCACTTTTTAGTGGGGCTGTTTGCTTTTTTGCTTGTTGATTTGTTAAAGTCCCTTATAAATTCTGGATATCAGACCTCTGTCGGATGCATAGGCTGAAAATACTTTCTCCCATTTTGTAAGGTATCTGTTTACTCTGTTGATAGTTTCTTTTGTGGTGAGAAGCTCTTTAGGTCCCATTTGTCAATTTTTTTTGTTGTGGTTGTTGAGATTGCTTTTGAGGTCTTAGCCATAAATTCTTTGCCAATGCTGATGTCCAGAATAGTATTTCCTAGGTTGTCTCTGGATTTTTTTATAGTTTGAGGTCTTACATTTAAATCTTTGAGACATCTTGAGTTAATTTCCGCATATGATAAAAGGTAGGAATCCTATTTTATTCTTCTGCATATAGCTAGCCAGCTTTCCCAGCACCATTTATTGAATAGGGGTTCCTTTCCCCATTGCTTATTTTTGTCAACTTTGTCAAAGATCAGATGGCTGTAAGTGTAAGGTTTTATTTCTGGTCTCTATTCTATTCCATTGGTTGGTCTATGTGTCTGTTTTGTACCAGTACCATGCTGTTTTGGTTACTGTAGTCTTTTAGTATAGGTTGAAATCAGATAATGTGATGCCTCCTGCTTTGTTCATTTTGCTTAGGATTCCTTTGGCTATTCAGGATTCTTTTGGGTTACATTATAATTTAAATATATTTTTTTTCACTAAATCTGTGAAAAATGACATTGGTAGTTTGATAGGAATAGTATTAAGGCTGTAGATTACTTTGGGGAGTATGGTCCTATTAAGGATACTGATTCTTCCAGTGCCTGAGCATGGACTCTTACCCCTTTTCTTTGTGTGAACTCAGATTTTCTTCAGCAGTGTTTTGTAATTCCCCTTGCAGACATCTTTCACCCGGTTGGTTAGAGGTTTTCCTAGATTTTTTATTTTTTGGTGGCAATTGTGAATGGGATTGTGTTCTTGATTTGGCTCTCAGCTTGTATGTTATTGGTATATAGAAATGTTATTGATTTTTGTACATTGATTTTGTATCCTGAAACTACAGAAGTTGTTAATCAGTTCTAGGAGCCTTTTGGTGGAGTTTTTAGGGGTTTCTAGGCATAGAATCATACCATAAGCAAAGAGAGTTTGACTTCTTCTTTTCCTTTGTGGATGCTTTTATTTATTTCTTTTGCCTGATGGCTCTGGCTAGAACTTCTGGTTCTATGTTAAATAGGAGAGGTGAGAGTGAGCATTCTTGTCTTGTCCCAGTTCTGAAGGGGATGCTTCCTCCTTTTGTGCATTCAGAATGATGTGAGCTGTGGATTTGTCATACATGGCTCTTATTATTTTGTGGGATATGACAAATATCCCACAGAGTTATGATGAGTGAGGAAAACAAGCTTGTACATGGAGAATTGCCTTGTCAATTTGCAATAATACACAATGATTTGTTGCTGATACTCATATAGCCACTGACTCATAAGGCAAATGGGGAAACTAAGCCCCAAAGAATTGAAATGTCTAAAACCAGTTCATGTGGAAAAATGAGAACGAACTTAACATTTCTGTTAGGTTTATGAAATGGTCACTTGTCTCTTATGAATTTTGGATAAGGGCCCAGGAAGTCACTCTCCTCCTGCTAAGGAAGATGCTTGGAGACCGTGGAGACTCGGCAGTCTTCGTCCTGTTCTCCACCCTTCTTAGAGGTTCTAAGAAGCTCTTCAACCCAAATGCCCATCGATGATAGGCTGGATAAAGAAAATGTGGCACATATACCCCATGGAATAGTATGCAGCCATAAAAAGGATGAGTTCATGTCCTTTGCAGGGACATGGATGAATCTGGAAACCATCATTCTCAGCAAACTATCACAGGAACAGAAAACCAAACACCGCATGTTCTCACTCATTGAGTGAGTGTTTAACAATGAGAACACATGGACACAGGGAGGGGAACATCACACACTGGGGCCTGTTGAGGGGTGGGGGGCTAGGGGAGGGAGGGAGAAACACCTAATGTAGGTGACCGTGGGATGGAGGCAGCAAACCACCATGGCACGTGTATACCTATGTAACAATCCTGCAAGATCTGCACATGTGCCCCAGAACTTAAAGTAAAATTTGATGCCCAGTTTGTTGAAGGTTTTATTGTGAAGAGATACTGGATTTTATAGAAAGCCTTTCCTGAGTCTATTGAGATGATCATACGGCTTTTGTTTTTATTTCTTTTTATGTGGTGAAACACATTATCGATTGGTATATATTGAACCAACCTTGCATCCTAGGAACGAAACCTACTACATTGTGATGAATTGACTTTTTGATATGCTTCTGGATTCAGTTTGCTAGTATTTTGCAGAGGATTTTTGCGTCTCAGTTTATCAGGGATATTGGCTTGTAATTTTTTTTTCATTGTGTTTTTGCCAGATTTTGGTATCAGGGTAACGTTGGCTTCATAAATATTCTGTTTCCTTTTTCTGCTTTTCTTAGTTGGGAAGTTACTTATTATTTTAGTTTTTCTTTAGGTCTATTCTAGAGATGAAAAATTTATCGTCAACTTATAAAAGTCTAGTGTTGATTAGTGCTTCAGTTTCTCTGTGATTAGCTTACAGTTCACTAATTTTCTTTACTCATGTCCATGTGCTATTGGAACAATCCACTGAGATCTCAATTTTAAATATTGTATCTTTAATTTCTGGAATTTATATTTAGTCATCTTATACAGCTTTCAGTTCTGTTTTGAAATTTTCAAACTTATCATTTAAGTATTTTTTTTCCAAGAAAGTATATTTTCTGAACTCTTGTCTGAGTAGTATACTTTTGCTTTTATTCAAGAATTTCATGCTCAATGAAATTTTTCATATGCAAAACCAAAGTAAGTTAATCTTATTTCCTTCTTTGTGTATTCCACTAGGATCATTCTTGATTAAAAGCATTTTCTAGAAAAATAAAAGAAGACTGAAAATATACAATTTGCATATGGTATAGGATATTATGTGGATTTTTCTGAAATTGATGTTGGAAGTATAATTTTATAAAAAGCTTTTTGAAAGCAATTTGACATTATCTAAATGAAAAATGTTTACATCCTTTGAACTAGCATGCCACTTGTGAAAATGGAAATCTATTCGTACATGTGAATCAGAATTTTCAATGTAGTAATGCTTATTATAGTAGACACCTAGAAACACCCTAAATGTCTATATATTTAAGAGCTGTTAAATAAATGTTTACCTGCATCCCTCTGAAATACCACACATAAATAAAAAACTATTAAGCAAATTCATACATGCTGCTTTGGAAGACCACCAAGATATATCCTTAAATGAAAATAATACAAATATACCAGGGAGCTGATAACTCTGGATAGCATGTTCGTGTGTGTGTGTAGGAGAGAGTGAATACATGCTTTTAAAGCTATTTGTGCATAATAATTCACAAGGGTTTATAGACACACAGAATATTTCATTTTCAGTAAGGACAAAAATGCTTATACTGCTGGCTGTGACATTCTAAAACAAGGAGATATGAATAAAATGAGCATCTACAGTATTCACTAACACTGGGGTAAATTACATTTACTTCCAGCATTTGTCCCTGCCTAAAAAGATCTACCTGGGGCAATATCCCTACCAGGGATAATGTGCTGCCACGAAACTCCCCCATCGCTCTCGATTGTCTCCCATTTTTATTCAAGTTATTTTCTAGATTTTGAATAATCTTAGATGTAGAGAGAAAGGTGCTGATAGCAGGTAGGGGCAGGTAAAATATTGGCTATTTAAAAATCAGTATGGCCTTATTACCTATTGTTTGAGGTTTACAGCACAGGCTCTGGAGTCAGACTCTCTACTTTTAAATTATAACTCTGTCACTTAGCAAGTGTGATCATCAGACAGTCTCTTACTAGTTTACCTCGGTTTTCTTATCTACATAATGGGATAATGTGAGTACTCATTTCATAGTGTTGTTTGAGAATTACATAAAGTTTCACCTAAAATGTTTAGCAGAGTATTTTAATAGGAAGATGAGAAAGGCTGTGGCTATGACAGCAGCCAATGTTATTTCATTTGAAACTGATAAACTGGGGCATTATTAATGTAATATATAAAAGGACCTAACATAGATTTCTTTAAATAGGAGAATACCCTGGGATTTAAAAAATAGAACTTGAGTTTTAATAGTGTTTCAGGAGGGATATGGAGAAAAGGAGGAGGCCACACTTACACCCTTGTTTCATGCTTTGTTTAGCCAAGGGCACAGAACTTTCAAGAAGTAGCACGGCTGCGTAGAACAGAGGCAGATGGGAGCGGGGACATGGCCGCGTAGAACAGAGGCAGGTGGGAGCGGGGACATGGCCGCGTAGAACAGAGGCAGGTGGGAGCGGGGACACGGTTGCGTAGAACAGAGGCAGGTGGGAGCGGGGACATGGCTGCGTAGAACAGAGGCAGGTGGGAGTGGGGAAACCTTGTTCAACTTTCCACTGGCTTGTTTGCTTCTTAAAAAGACATCAGCTGCCGGTCACAGATTCTGAGTGGGCAAGTACTGGAACACCTTGTCATTCGAACTGACTGGGCAATTTATCAGTTTTATAGGTTTGAACCATTCTCTTAACTCTTATGAGCCTCAGTTACCTAATCTGTCAAATGGGAATACTAGTTACTCCAATAGAGTGTTACTTTCACTGTACGTGAGACATTAGAAAATTTGAATGATGTGATAATGCCCAACACAAAATGTAATGTGCTGTTGCTTAGGAAACAATGTCTAGCAGTTGACACAGTCAACTTGAGTCTTTCTGAAGCCCCTGCATGTGAAAACCACGTGTTGAGAATACGTCATGAAATGCTTAGAACTTTAAGAACAAGCAGTTGGATGACTCTTCTGTAGGAGTTAGGAGAGAGCTGGTTTAGCCAAGCTACAAGTACAAGTAATTTTTTCTCTTTGGCTGTTTTCCCATCTTTAAAGTGAATGAATTGGACATGATGAATTTAAGGGGGCTAATCATGAGGGAGGAAGTAGAAGTTCATCGGTGTGAGTGTGTGTGTGTGTGTGAGTGTGTGTGAGTGTGTGTGTGAGAGTGTGTGTGTGTGTGTGAGAGAGAGAGAGGGAGAGAGAGAGAACGAATACATGCCTTTAAAGCTGTTTGTGCACAATAATTCACAAGCGTTTATAGACACATAGACTAGTTCATTTTCAGTAAGGACAAAAGAATTCTTATACTGTAGGCCATGACATTCTAAAACAAGGTGATGAACATCTACAATATTCACTAATACTGGGGTAAATTACATGTCTAGCATGCTGTGATTCAAGTGACATGTCCAACATTTATGCATAAAGTGGTCCAGGTCCACTTAGTTAAAGTCTTCCTGGCATTCACCAACATCATTGGTCCAGTGATGCATAAGGGCAGAAGAAGTCGCCAAGGGCCCCTTGAGTATATCTGTGGTGGGGACAGGGGGTGATGGGATGTTAGATTCTCCTCTGTCACTTACTTGAGAATGGAGAGGGAAACCCATGGGGGCCAGAATATGAGGGGGCTAATCATGAAGGAGGAAGTAGAAGTCCCTGGTTTATAATTGGATTAATGAGAGATAGGATCCCTAACCTCTGAATGAAGCCGTTGGGAAATTGACTTTTGCTCTTCTCAGAAACTCCCCAGAGGGAGGGTGCTAGAAAAGTTCAGAGAATTCAATTCTTGGACTCAACTTTCCATTTCATATATCTTAAATGCTTCGGGCTTCTAAGTCCAGCAAACATTTCCTTCAATTCTCCTTTTAATGGTTTTTAGGGCAGACTGACCCTGTTCTATTCCCCTACAACTTTCTTAGCAAGAAAGTCATTAAGGGCTGAACTTGGCATATGGAGGGCTGGCATCAATGGCACATGGCAAATCCTTAGGGGAAGGATCAGCATTTAGCAGTACCTTTTAGGGGAGGAAAGATTCCAAGTCAGTTACATTTACTGAGCCCTTACCACGGATGGGAAGACCTTCAGGTGGGGTCTTTCAGATACATCGATGCCTTCTGTTGTCACTTTTGCTTCGACATGGTTTCACCCATGGTGAACCTTCTTAGATTTGCTCACTCTTTCAGCAGATGAGGCAGACCTTACACACCATCTTGTTAAAGCCTCGCCTGTCTAGTTAAAGGACAGGGTGACAAAGTTACTTTATAGTTTGGCTTAGAGCAGATGTTAGAGTCATTCTAACCAGAGCCTCTTGTAAAATGGCCAAGAAGGAATAGTTTGCAAAATGAGTTTTCTGTATCAACAGCTGAATTATGTATTTTTCAGCAATATTCTTTTTATAAATTCAATATTCTTGTGATAAATAAGATGCTCTCACATCTGGCCTTCTATGGGAGAAAAACAGTGTTAGCCTATCTGAGCCTGAATGGAGATTAGCCTATATAGAAATCTAAAATTTGTTGAGAAGCAATCTTGAACCAAAATCTCCATGTCTTAGACTAGTGAACATTAACACACTATTTAGATTTCTTTGATCTCTTTGTCTTTATACTTTGTTGGTGAAATAAAAGTCTTTCTTGGGATGACTTAGTGCAAGTGAATTAGTTTTCTGACTACAAAAAAAAATCTAGAAGATAAGAATCAAGACAACAAACAACATTCAATGTAAGTTCATTCACCTAATCTTGAGTGGGGCGTGCTCGGAATTAGGCTCAAAGAGAGGAGCTTATTTTTTTCAGATTAGGTACCCTCCCTGCATGTACTTTAACCTCTGTGCCATTTATAAGACGCCTCTGGTGTTACCTTGGCTTAAAAATAGATGTAGTAGCAGATGGAGGATTCAGGGATCACTCTAAAACCACTTCTTTTTTTTTTTTTAGGGTTTACTCTTTATTTTGTACAGTTTTATGAGTTTTTGCAAAGGCATAATGTCAAATATGCATCAATACAATATCATATAGACCATAAAACTTTACATTAATTAAAATTTGGAGACCACAATGTTTTCCTAAAGAAAGTCAATTAGACAAATGAAGTCGTTAGTCATCATTAGATGCTTTGAGAAACCAAATACAGTTCAGGAAGTAAGATCATTTACAGATTTACAATAGTTTACTCTTCGAAGAGATAATACGAATACACACTGCATTAAAAAAATCAAATTTACAATTAAACACAGGCTGGAAAAAAAGAAAACGTATTTAACCAATATGCTTTGACCAAATATCAAACCAAAGAATAGTCCCAGGTCTTCCAGTTTGATTGAAAATGAAACTCCCAGTAAAACCACTTCTTAATATCTCCTGTATTCTCAGCTGTGTGCAAGGTGCTATAGAGGATGTAACAGACATTTAACCAGCCTTCAGAAGCTTATGTCTTCACTGAGACACCTGACAGATCTAGTACATAAACTAGATAGAGAACAATTGGTAACAGAGTCTTAGAGCTTAGATCTCAAGTCCCAAAGGCAAATATTGCAAAGACTTCTTTCCCTGGATGCCCAGTTTGACTGGCTCCCGAAACATCCTCTCCTCTCCAGTGCCTCTAAGCTCTGCACAGGCTGCCTTGGAAGAAATTACACCAAGTAGGTAACTGAAGTTGGATCACATTTTTTGTTTCTCCTGAAAGTTCTATTTGTACTTTTAAAAATTTAAGTTAATTTTAAGTTCTGGGATACATGTGCAGGATGTGCAGGTTTATTACACAGGTAAATGTGTGCCATTGTGGTTTGCTATATATATTAACCCATCAAAGACCTAGAACCAGAAATATCATTTGATCTAGCAATCCCATTACTGGGTATATATCCAAATGAATAGAAATCATTCTGGTATAAAGAGTCATGCATGCATATGTTCATTGCAGCATTATTCACAATAGCAAAGACACGGAATCAACCCAAATGCCCAATGCCCATCAATGATAGACTGGATTAAAAAAATGTGGGGCATATACACCATGGAATACTATGTAGCCATAAAAAGAAATGAGATCATGTTCTTTGCAGGGACATGGATGGAGCTGGAAGCCATCATCCTCAGCAAACTAACACAAGAACAGAAAACCAAACACTGCATGTTCTCACTTATAAGTGGGAGCTGGACAATAAGGACCACATTTTTGTCAATTTTCTTTCTTACTGCCTTTTTTTTAAAAAAATATATTTTACTCTTCCACTTGGCTTTGCATTTGTTGTAAACGTGATTCCCTTTTCTGTCCATGTTACGACTGCATTCTGGAAGCTGGATTTGGGTGAGCACCAGGTGGAAGAGTCGATGGATTTGATGATCTTTAAAGCCTTGCCTGGGAAGCTGAGATACCTAATTTTAGTTCAGGCTGTACACCAACCAGCCGTATGACTCTGGGCCCCAGATTCATCTTCTGTAACATGAAGAATTCATCAGCCTCCTTCCAAATTTGACAGCTTATGATTACTCTGTAGAGGAAACTAGGAAGGAGAGAGTCCTCTGCATCTGACTTCTCTGTGATAGGGTATCTTTGGAGAGAAGAGTGTTGGAAAAGGCCAGTCAGACCAATCTTATTTTTCAAAACCTCATAGTACATGAGGTTCTATGACGGAAAAAGTGAAATAAGAAACCAAAGTAGGGACTGGATTTATTTTAAATATTTAAAAATTGGAGGTGGGAGGGGAATAGAAAAATATTTAAAAATTTTCACAGAAGTTGTTTACTGAGGTCAGGCCCTCCTTAAGATTCTGTGTTTATCCTCATTTTAGGTTTTCTTAACTATGAACTCTGGAAATGTTCATTTAATGAGCTGTCTGATTAGAACAGAGACTTATGGTGGATTACCTGAGGTCGGGAGTTTGAGACCAGCATGACCAACATGGAGAAACCCTGTCTCTACTAAAAATACAAAAATATTAGCCGATTGTGGTGGCGCATGCCTGTAATCCCAGCTACTCGGAGGCTGAGGCAGGAGAATTGCTTGAACCTGAGAGGCGGAGGTTGCGGTGAGCCAAGATTGTGCCATTGCACTCCAGCCTGGGCAACAAGAGTGAAACTCCATCTCAAAAAAAAAAGTCAATATTAAAGTATTCTAGACATCACAGGCAAAATGTCACTACCACTGTCTGTGGTTTACAAATCTACTGACCTCTTTGTGAAATGATCTCTCAAAGGTTTTTCATTTCCATGCAGAGATTTAATATATTTTAATTTCCTTTTTAAAATTCTACTCTAAGTCCATTCACTTTTTAGCTTTTTAAGACAATTTGATGATTATATTGTATATTAATCTTGTTCTGTTAACCTTTAATAGCCTTGGATTAAAAATACAGCTCATCTTTTAAAATAAGAAGACTAAAGTGGTCTTACAAATCCTCTGAAAGGACCTCTCATCGATACCCCAAACCAGAAGGAGTGTTAGAAACAGAGAACATTTGCTTTCAAGCCAAATTTCACAGAAAATATTCACCTAGTGATAGAATCATTGTTCCCGTGATGATGAAACCTGCCCATGTAAGATTGCTGCCTTCTACATAAACCTCCTGTGTGCGAAAGATTGGTATATGGCAGAAGGATCAGCTGGCTACACAGAGGAGCATGGTGGGGAGCGAAAGGGAGGCCACAATAACAAGAGGATGGCATTATGGCTGTTTCGTAGATCAGGAAACGGGGGCTCAGAGAGGTTTCATCACTTCTCCCAGGCCACACAGCTCCTCTTTGAACCAAGGTCTGTATTTTCAAAATGTAAATGCTTCTACCACATCTCCGACTTCCGCAGAGTACCTTATAATGCTTCATCATATCAATCTTGCCTTACACTATCACATGGAACAAGTTTTCTACACTGAGTGCTAATATTTCTCAGCTCCAATCTCAAATCTGTGAAGCTAACCAGGTTCCCTAACAGGCATAAGGAAGAAACTGAGAAGGGGAAAGGAAAATCACAAAGCTTCATACACTGTCCTTGGAGGAGGGTATGGAGAAGAGGAAATTTATGAGGAGGTAACAAGTCAGAGGCATTTCAACAATTAGTTAATTAAATTGGGGTAAAATACACAACAAAATTTACCATCTTAACCATTTTTAAGTGTGTAGCTCAGTAGCATTAAAATACATTCACAGAGTTGTGCAGCCATCACCACCTTTCACCTAGAATGTCTTCTATTGCTCCAAACGGAAACTCCACCATGAAACACTAACTCCATATTCCTCCACCTGCAGTCCCTGGCAACTGCCATTCTACCTACTTTCCGTCTCTGTGAATTCGACTACTCTAGGCACTCTATATGCTGTCTGAATGGACCTGTACAGCATTTTCATTTCTGTGACTAACTTAGCATGTCACTTAGCGTATTCAGTCCCATTTTATAATGTAGCTGACTGTTCTAAGGGCTTGTTGTAGACGCTTAACCCTGGGACCCTTTAATGAGAACCCTGGGACTTTACAATTCTGCATAAGCAGAGGTGGACGTCAGGCACTCTTTAGACGTAGGAGATGCAGTGAAAGCACGTACATTTTGAGGAACACAGATCTGGGCTCAAATAAAAGCTGTATGGCTTTGGGCAAGTGACTAAATCTGAGTCTCAGTTTTTTCTTGTCTGTAAAATGCCCTCTGATTTTTCTTGCGAGCATTCAGTCAGCACATGCTAGGATCGGCAAAAATACTTCAAGGCAGCAACTCTACAAAATCGAGGCCTCTGTTGGGAATAACATCAAGCAGTTGATATTTGCTGTTTTGTTCACTTGTCTCAGAACATGTTTTGGGGAAAACCAAGGGAGAGAACAAACTCAAGAGGGAGCAGAGTGACGACAGTCCTCCAGGTCTGGGAAGGATATTTCTAATGCCTGAGGAGAGTTCTTTGATTTCTATGATCCCAGGCTCTCAGCTCCTGCGCTTTAAAATATGGCTTCTACAAGCAATGTGACTGAAATCATTTTCTTGGGGTTCTCCCAGAATTGGAATGAGCAGAGGGTCACTTCTGTGGTGTTTCTTCTCATGTACATAGCCATTGTGCTGGGCAATGGCCTCATGTGGTGACTATCCTGGCCAGCAAAGGGCTCACCTCCCCCATGTATTTCTTCCTCAGCCACTCATCCTCTATGGAGATCTGTTACTGTTCTGTCATGGCCTCCAAGCTTATCTTTGACTCTTTTACCAAGAGGAAAGTTATGTCTCTCAAGGGCTGCATCACACAGATATTTTTCCTCCATTTCTTTGGTGGCACTGAGATCTTCCTCCTGATGGTGATGGCCTATGATTGCTACATGGCCATCTGCAAGCCATTTTACTACACTGCCATCATGAGCCAGCAGATGCGTGGCCTCCTGCGGGCAGTAGCATGGGGCGGGGGCCTGCTGCATTCTGTTGGGCAAACCTTCCTCATTTTCCAGCTCCCTTTCTGTGGCCCCAGCATCATCTACCACTACTTCTGTGATGTCCACCCAGTACTGAAGCTGGCCTGTGCGGACACTGTCCTCATTAGCCTGCTGATCATCACCAATGGTGGCTCCATCTCTGTGGTCAGCTTCTCAGTACTGATGGCTTCCTACCTGATCATCCTGCACTCCCCGAGGAGCCACAGCTCGGAGGGGCGGCAAAAGACCCTCTCTACCTCTGCCTCTCATGTCACAGTTGTGGGCCTGTTCTTCATACCTTGCTCCTTTGTCTACATGAGGCCCTGTGTCACCCTCCCTGCAGACAAGATAGTTGCCATATTTTACACGGTGGCCACACCTCCCTTAAACCCTGTCATTTACTCCTTCGGGAATGCTGAAGTGAGAAACGCCATGAGGAGACTCATAGGGAGAAAAGTAATTTGGGAAGAGATGCAGATGATCTAGTTAGGGAAGATAAGAGGAGCAGGGGAGGGGACATGGGGGCACCTAAGATCTCACTCTGTGTCTACCTTGCCCAATGGAGTGAGTGGCCTTGGGCCAGTCACCTTTTTCTATGAAGTTTCAGTTTCCTCATCTTATAGGATTGGATAAGATTGAAGGGGTGTCTAGGATGGAGAAAGAGGGGTCTTCTAGTGCTGTGCTTCCAAATCTGACAGAGGCCTCAAGACAGATTGGCTCATGTAGAGAGAATAAACTCTTCCAGAAAACCAGGTCATTCCGGGAATGGTGAAGAGGGAGGTGGGGATTGAGAACGACTGTCTCAGGGAGCAGTGGTCACTATGTCCTTCCAGTTCGAACAGTCACATGATTGGAAAGTCTCTTGAATTGACGCACTGAGGTTTTGCTGAGAGGGTTTGGGAAAGGCAACTGACTGAGAAGGGTGTAGTCCTGAGAATGGAAGACGTTGACTCTTGTCAACGGATTCATATGCGCTCATGCTAGCATTAGACTCAGGGTTCTCAAGATTCCAGAAGAACCACAGGGAGCTGCTAAGCAAATTGAAAGCACTGGATGATAATAGCCACTTTGTAGGTATGGGTTTTATTTTCCATGTTTTATTAACATTTTGATTCATATTATAAAAATCTCTCCTGTTCACACTTGTTCCCCCTTCACCTCCCTGTTTTCCCTCCTTCTGCCTCTTATTGTTTAACCTTTTCATTTTCTCAGTCTGCTGGCCTCTTGGATTCTTGTGCTTCTCAGCCTTTCCAATGAAGCCCCCAAGGAATCCCTCTCTTATGCCACCACATGGCTTTGTGCTGCCCATCCGCCAGTACTCCACCCCTTCCCATTCTTCATGCCTGCTGATTAAGGTATGGGCTTACCTACTGTTGGGTCCTCACTGCTGTCCTATATTTTAACCAAACTTCTTTTGAGTCTAATTCCAGTAGTCATCAGACTGTAAGAATGTGTCTAGAACCCTAACCCTAACTCTACTCACTGTCATTGGATAAATTTTCTTCCACATGCTATCAGACTCATCACTTTTAAGCAGCTCTCTGATTTCATCAGTCTCCCCCTCAAGAATCTTCAATGACTCCCTATTGCCTTCTGAATCAACTGTAAATTCCTGCTTGCTATGAAATGCCCTTAAGGCATGACCCTCTCATAATGTTAGACTTTCATTTTCAATTACACTATTAGAGTGTGCTGTTTTCTGAACATCCTCTTGTGCCCTCCGCCTATAATATTTTTCTTATCTCTACCTATTAACATTCTACCTGCCCTTCATGGCCCATCTGAAATTCTCCTACCTTTAGGAAGCCTCCACGATTATGCTATCTGGGTATGTTGTTTTCCTTCTTTGAATTCTCATGGCACTCAGTGGGAATCCTTTAAGGCGGTTGCTACCTTTATTTCAGTGTTTAGTTCTCTCCATTAGACTGTGACTCTTTTAAGAATATGGCTTAAAATTTATTCATCTATGTATCGCTAAATAGCAGATAGTGAAACAATAAATATTTGGTTGATTAAATTTCTGAAAGTCAGTAGTGCTTCAGATCGTAAGTGGACAATGGTTGTTTTATCTCTCATTTCATCTAAATAATCTAAATAATATGTCAGTTACATCACTCAAGACAAACCAATAGCCATTCCTGATATTGTTTCTAAGAATAACATTTATATAAATAAGGAGCTGTATGTATTTGTATATTTTACAATTAAGTGATTTAATGCTTTATCTGCTTTGATTCTGAAATACACTGGTGAAGTGGGTATGAGTACAGATGAAGAGATTGGAGACTGGGGAGGCAGAGGTCTTGATCAAGGTTACCAGTTAGTAACCCATGAAGCCTGAATCAAACCCACTGTGTCTGACTTCTCAGCCCATGCTCTTCTCTGCTTCTTTTTAAAGGTCACCACACACAAATATATGTAAGTCTTTGAATTTCAAATCTGAGAGCTGAGAATATCCTTATTGTCAGGTAATTTCCTTTGGAATTACTTCAGATTAAATAAAAAATGTTTGAAAAAATATAACCGGAAATGCCTTTTGGGTGTTCACAGGTATTTCTGGGTCCACAGAGATCCAGTGGCCAGGATGCTGGATCTGGAAGTGGGGGAAGGAAAGCAGGAGGCTATGGCTCTTTGATTCTCACCCAGGAAAAAACCTGGGCATTGACTGGATTAGGGTGGGTCATATGTTGCTTAGATATTTTATGTTTCTATAGATTTTCCTGGTTAAAAAAAAAAAAAAAAAGAGTGGCCTAATGCCCGACATCAAAACTCAGTGTGCTGGCCAAGACAATTTTTTTTTTTTGTCTTTTTTGTTTGTTTTAGTTTTTTTTTTTAATATGGAGTTTTGCTGTTGTTGCCGAAGCAGGAGTGCAATGGGACAATCTCAGCTCACTGCAGTCTCTGCCTCCTGGGTACAAGCGATTCTCCTGCCTCAGCCTCCAGAGTAGCTGGAATTAAAGGTGTGCGCCACCACGTCTGGCTAACTTTTTGTATTTTTAGTAGAAATGGGGTTTCACCATGTTACCCAGGCTGGTCTCGAACTCCTGATCTCAGTTGATCCACCTGCCTTGACCTCCCAAAGTGCTGTGATTACAGGCACAAGCCACCGTGTCTGCTCAAGATTTTTTTCTCTAGTGACATAATGCTGGAAAAGGCAGCATTCTGCAGAATACCATAAAGATCAGAAAATGGGAAATGAGAGGCAAAAGATTAATATGAATTGTGCATCCACCAATTAAATTTCCCAACATTTAATTCTCAGGACTGCACTGTCCCATTGGTGTGATTCCTTTTGCAGGTGGGGAAACTGCAGGTCAAGGACTCCTCCTAAACCCCCAATGTTCCTTCTACACCAGTTGTTTGTGAACTATGTAGGATTCAGTGTCCAGAATTCTGCAGGTACCTGAGGGACTGGGGCAAGAGCAGAGCAGGAAAGGACAGGAGACATCTGAGTGCGTAATCAGCTGCTGATTACCTTAAAAAATCTGTTTTATATAAGATTACTTTGATTAAAAAAAAATCCTTAAAAAATCACTATAGCAACCAACAGAATGGGAAAAAATTTTTGCAGTTTACCCATCTGACAAAGGGCTGATATCCAGAATTTACAAAGAACTCAAACAGATTTACAGGAAAAAAACAAACAAGCCTATTCAAAAGTGGGCAAAGGATATGAACAGACACTTTACGAAAGAAGACATATATGAAGCCAACAATCATATGAAAAAATGCTCATCGTCACTGGTCATTAGAGAGATGCAAATCAAAACCACATTGAGATACCATCTCACACCAGCTAGAATGGCGATCATTAAAAAATCTGGAGACAACAGATGCTGGAGAGGATGTGGAGAAAAAGGAACACTTTTACACTGTTGGTGGGAGTGTAAATTAGTTCAACCATTGTAGAAGACAGTGTGGCAATTCCTCAAGGCCTTAGAAATAGAAATTCCATTTGACCCAGCAATCCCATTACTGGGTATATATCCAAAGGACTATAAATCGTTCTACTATAAGGACACATGTACACGAATGTTCATTGCAGCACTGTTTACAATAGCAAAGACCTGGAATCAACCCAAATGCCCATTGATAATAGACTGGATTGGAAAAATGTGGCACATATACACCATGGGATATTATGCAGCAATCAGAAATGATGAGTTTGTGTCGTTTGTAGGGACATGGATGAATCTGGAGAACATCATCCTCAGCAAACTGACACAAGAACAGAAAATGAAACACCGCGTATTCTCACTCATAGGCGGGTGATGAAAAATGAGAACACAGGGACACAGGGAGGGGAGTACTAAACACTGGGGTCTATTGGGGGGAAAAGGGGAGGGTCAGTGGGAGGGGGAGATGGGGAGGGATAGCCTGGGGAGAAATGCCAAATGTGGGTGAAGGGGAGAAAGGAAGCAAAACAGACTGCCATGTGTGTACCTATGCAACTGTCTTGCATGTTCTGCTCATGTACCCCAAAACCTAAAATGTAATTAAAAAATCACTATAATAAAACATGCTTATATTTTAAATTTTGATTGGTCATTAGGAAAGGACCTCTATTTCCAGAAGGGGAAGCAGAATCAACCCTTCTTCCAAAATTCCAATCCCAGAGACTCAGGCAAGAACCTCTTCAATGACAGTTAAGGCATGCCTCAGAAAATGCAGCATATCCAATCCAGGTGAATGCCCCTGAACATGATACATTGACCCAGCCAGCTCTGAAATGGCCTTACTTCCTGGGGTGGTGCTGCACCCAAATTGCATCTTTCCATTACATTTGCAGACTAAGTCTCATTGCCACGAGACTCAGCATTTCAAGTTTTCGTATGTATTTTTGAAAAATTTGTGACTTGCAAAAAAGTTCTGCACTTTGACTATTTATCTGTATGGTTAGTGTCAAGAAAACTTGAGTGGAAGATATATTATTATTATTTATTATTTATTTCGTTTTATTTTTTGAGACAGAATTTTTGCTCTTGTCTCCAGGCTGGAATGCAGTGGTGTGATCTTGGCTCACTACAACCTCCACCTCCTGGGTTCGGGCGATTCTCCTGCCTCAGCCTCCTGAGTAGCTGGGATTACAGGGGTGTGCCACCACACCTGGCTAATTTTGAATTTTTAGTGGAGATGGGGTTTCACCATGTTGGCCAGGATGGTCTCAAACTCCTGACCTCAGATGATCCACTTGCCTTGGCTTCTCAAAGTGCTGGGATTACAGGCATGAGCCACTGTGCTGATCTTATTTTATTTTTTCTTTGAGATAAGTTCTCGCCTTGTTGCCCAGGCTGGCGTTCAGTGGCATGATCTTGGTTCACTGTAACCTCTGCCTCCCAGATTCAAGTGATTCTTGTGCCTCAGCCTCCCAAGTAGCTGTGACTACAGGTGTGTACCACCATGTCCGGCTCATTTTTGTATTTTTAGTAGAGAGGGGGTTTTGCCATGTTGGCCAAGCTGGCTTAGAACTCCTGAGCTCAAGTGAA